GTTTAGTTCACTCAGTAGACTACCCCAGGATAATATTATGCCACAGCTGTTTAGTTCACTCAGTAGACTACCCCAGGATAATATTATGCCACAGCTGTTTAGTTCACTCAGTAGACTACCCCAGGATAATATTATGCCACAGCTGTTTAGTTCACTCAGTAGACTACCCCAGGATAATATTATGCCACAGCTGTTTAGTTCACTCAGTAGACTACCCCAGGATAATATTATGCCACAGCTGTTTAGTTCACTCAGTAGACTACCCCAGGATAATATTATGCCACAGCTGTTTAGTTCACTCAGTAGACTACCCCAGGATAATATTATGCCACAGCTGTTTAGTTCACTCAGTAGACTACCCCAGGATAATATTATGCCACAGCTGTTTAGTTCACTCAGTAGACTACCCCAGGATAGTATTATGCCACAGCTGTTTAGTTCACTCAGTAGACTACCCCAGGATAGTATTATGCCACAGCTGTTAGTTCAATCAGTAGACTACCCCAGGATAACATTATGTCACAGCTGTTTAGTTCAATCAGTAGACTACCCCAGGATAATATTATGTCACAGCTGTTTAGTTCAATCAGTAGACTACCCCAAGATAATATTATTTCACAGCTGTTTAGTTCACTCAGTAGACTACCCCAGGATAATATTATGTCACAGCTGTTTAGTTCACTCCGTAGACTACCCCAAGATAATATTAGGTCACAGCTGTTTAGTTCAATCAGTAGACTACCCCAAGATAATATTATGTCACAGCTGTTTAGTTCACTCCGTAGACTACCCCAGGATAATATTATGTCACAGCTTTTTAGTTCCCTCAGTAGGCTACCCCAGGATAATATTATGTCACAGCTGTTTAGTTCCCTCAGTAGGCTACCCCAGGATAATATTATGTCACAGCTGTTTAGTTCACTCAGTAGACGACCCTATCAAAAAAAATAAAAAATCTGCTTTAGACTTTAGGTTGTTTCAAGGAATCGTGGCTTTTCATTACTCCCTTTAGCGGTGTGACATGTGTAGCAATGGTTAGTGCCGCCCAAGATATCTCACTCTCACTTACACGAAAAGAAATTATGATGCTGTTCGAAAAATCAACCCCCACTTTTTTTTTCAATTTAAAGAAAAAGTGATGTCCAAGGCGACCGCCATCTCCACACCACCCCATTTTTCCTCCACCATTGCTCACCCCATTACCCACTGCTAAGTCACTGTAAACAATTCACCCAAATTTTACCCAATTTAATGGAATGCTAAGGGCGAGCTTTGACCTCTTTTCCTGCCTTTTTTATTTTTTTGTTTTATTTGTTAACTAACAGAAATTGTTTAAATGTCTTAGAACTCTATAGATAAGCTTAGAATTCCATAGTTAAGCTTTGACCTCCACAGATAAGCATCTTGAAATATTTCCTTATGATTCGTTCAAAATAAATTATGCTCATAATTCTCGCAACTTTTTTCTTAAACTCATGTATTTTTTTTTTAAATTGCTGAAATGTCAATAAGCCTAAAAGGTAGCACCCTGCACCATTTGGAGGATAAATAACAATTGAACACAAATATTAGAGGCAAAATTGGGAATTTGCTTATTTTAGGTCATTGAACTCTTTTGATGTACTGTTTTCATATTCAGTGGTTGTGTAGAGCTGTGTTAATGCTGGGTGCTTGTGAAGAACTGTGTTCATATCGAGTGGTTGTGAAGAACTGTGTTCACGTTTAGTGGTTGTGAAGAACTGTGTTAATGCTGGGTGCTTGTGAAGAAATGTGTTCATGTTGGTTGACTGTTGAGTGGTTGTGAAGAACTGTGTTCATGTTGGTTGACTGTTGAGTGGTTGTGAAGAACTGTGTTCATGTTGGTTGACTGTTGAGTGGTTGTGAAGAACTGTGTTCATGTTGGTTGACTGTTGAGTGGTTGTGAAGAACTGTGTTCATGTTGGTTGACTGTTGAGTGGTTGTGAAGAACTGTGTTCATGTTGGTTGACTGTTGAGTGGTTGTGAAGAACTGTGTTCATGTTGGTTGACTGTTGAGTGGTTGTGAAGAACTGTGTTCATGTTGGTTGACTGTTGAGTGGTTGTGAAGAACTGTGTTCATGTTGGTTGACTGTTGAGTGGTTGTGAAGAACTGTGTTCATGTTGGTTGACTGTTGAGTGGTTGTGAAGAACTGTGTTCATGTTGGTTGACTGTTGAGTGGTTGTGAAGAACTGTGTTCATGTTGGTTGACTGTTGAGTGGTTGTGAAGAACTGTGTTCATGTTGGTTGACTGTTGAGTGGTTGTGAAGAACTGTGTTCATGTTGGTTGACTGTTGAGTGGTTGTGAAGAACTGTGTTCATGTTGGTTGACTGTTGAGTGGTTGTGAAGAACTGTGTTCATGTTGGTTGACTGTTGAGTGGTTGTGAAGAACTGTGTTCATGTTGGTTGACTGTTGAGTGGTTGTGAAGAACTGTGTTCATGTTGGTTGACTGTTGAGTGGTTGTGAAGAACTGTGTTCATGTTGGTTGACTGTTGAGTGGTTGTGAAGAACTGTGTTCATGTTGGTTGACTGTTGAGTGGTTGTGAAGAACTGTGTTCATGTTGGTTGACTGTTGAGTGGTTGTGAAGAACTGTGTTCATGTTGGTTGACTGTTGAGTGGTTGTGAAGAACTGTGTTCATGTTGGTTGACTGTTGAGTGGTTGTGAAGAACTGTGTTCATGTTGGTTGACTGTTGAGTGGTTGTGAAGAACTGTGTTCATGTTGGTTGACTGTTGAGTGGTTGTGAAGAACTGTGTTCATGTTGGTTGACTGTTGAGTGGTTGCCCATCTAAACTACTTAAATAATTGTGTTCGCTTTAGGGTAAACTCTTTTTTTTTTCTTAAATCAACTTTTTATGGCAATAACATTCAAACACAAAACACAGCGTCCTCCTAAGTTGCTTGTGAAATTTGATTACCTATTTTGACATTGGTTAAACGCTCAACTTTTGATGAGTTTTTTCATCTTTATTTTGGCATGAAACTTCAGGGAAGTTATCCACTTTCTGTTCATCAAACGTTTTACTCGTACCGATTTTTGTTTCAGTGATCTCCCGTCCAATAGAATCATGAATGTGTACACACACACACACACACACCCACCACCGCCTTCTAAATCACCCAGAATCCTCCCTCCCTTTCCACAAATTATAAAAATAACAGAGAAAGGGAGCTAAGAATATAAATACACTTTTCAAGTGGGCCATGATAAAAAAAAATATATATATATCGAGAAACGCTGAGTTAAACGAGTCTAAGGCTTGTGAGGTGCAGTGTCTAGATTTTCCTTTTGTGCATCAAATTCCTTTTCATGCATAAAAGAATTTAAAAAGATAGTTGTTTTCTTTCTTTAACTTTTTTTTTTTTCTTTTTCGTTTGTTCGTGCAGAAATCTTTATTAAATCCTTTTTATATTAACTTCGCTTTCGTGTCTGGCTGGCTACCTAAATCTTTGGACGACTAATTGACCCACTTCCCTTTAATCTGTCGAGTTGAAACTTGGCACATAGACTCGTTGCCGATGACAACGCATCAAATTTTCATCCCAACCCGCAATAATCAGATGTTCCCGTTCTTCAATGGGAAGATGAAGACAATTGATAATGTGACGACACAGACTTCACGAAACAAAATTCCCGATAACTCCACTAAATGAGATTCTTTAAAAAAAAAAAAAAAAAAATTTCCTGCTTGCGTGGGGGGCGTAATAATTTCTGGATTTTTTTGTGAAATAGTTGGGGATTTAAATTTGTGAAGACAATTGATAATGTGACGACACAAACTTCACAAAACAAAATTCCCGATAACTCCACTAAATGAGATTCTTTAAAAAAAAAAAAAAAAAAAATATCCTGCTTGCGTTGGGTGCGTAATAATTTCTGGGTTTTTTTGTGAAATAGTTGGGGATTTAAATTTGCCATGTAAAAGCAGGTAGGTAATGGGAGTCGCTTAGTCACTTCCTTGTTTGGTCACGTGAGGAGAGTAAGCCATTTCACAACAAAAGATACTTCATCAGTGCTTCCCTAATGTCATGTTACTTAAAAATTTTACCTTTCAAAATATTCTGGAATGCATGCGTTTTTTAAATGAAATAAATAGATGTGACAATAAATATACGTCAGTTATGATTAAAGGAAGAAAGTTATTTCAAGAAAAATTTGTGAGCGATATTCGATGGGATACTATCATCGGCGGCTGTTGTTGACCTCCGAGCGTGCCCATGACGTCATTTGAGTATTTATTCAAAATTGGTGCAGGAGTTATTCCCCTTTGTTTATTTTATTGTTAATTTTCATTGGACGAAATGTAGGCATACCATGACGTCATTTGCGTGTTTATATTTTAATAATATTTTAATCACCGGTTGGAACAAGATTTCATGTGAATAATTTACGAAGGTCCACTTTGTCAAGCCATTGTCTTAAATGTTCTTTATCCTTAAGCGGAAACTTATGCAGCCTCATACCGCTGTCCTTAACTTGACTGTTTGAACAGCCAAAACCCGAACATTGCCTAGGCATCTTGGATTACTAGTTGTAGTGTGTAACGGCAACGGGCTACTGTTGTCAAGCACTAGTGTGTTGTATACAGCCTACCGGAAGTCTTACTCGTTTTTACTCTCATCAGTGACAAATCAATCGACTAAGCGACTCCAATTAAAATATGATTATAGTTCATGGGCATGAAAAAAAGAAGTGCGATTGACCCCGGGGCAGCACTATTTGGGATTCTTAAAAAGAATATTACTTGAATGCATATTTTGTCAAATTTTCAGCCCCACCCCTTATTTAACTTATTGCTTGATATTAAAATGACATATTAAAAGTATTTATTTTTTACAATTTTAAATTTTTTGGTTTGTTTAATTTTCAGTTACAAAAACGTAATTCCAATTTAATTCTAGGCAGGACTATACTATTAAAGAAATGCTGAGAAATACAAAGTTATTTTACAAAAATATTTTATTTGTACAAAATTCTGAAGAAAGAATATATTAATATGAATAAAATTAAAAATGATGCAGTGCGCCTACACTAAATTATTCATGCACTCTCTCGTTTGCTTTACAACTTCACATTCTCAAAAATAATGAAATCATATCATTCATTTTGGCATTAACAAAGAAATTTGAGGATGTCACTTTTAAATGATAACTTTGTCATAGAGAAGCATCTGAATGATTGTACTAGCAAATTTACAAGACTCATTTATATAAAACATTTACATTTCTAACATTTAGAATGTTTACAGCATGCCTTTTGTTTATAAATGAATCTAATTTTACATCAGTACTGTGGTTGTCAAAGTAGCTGCTTAGTACAGAAAGCAAATGTCTGTACAGCTTCATAATATAACTTACTGTCCTAAGACTGATCTGAAATTACATGTAAGAATACAGACAGATACATGTGAATATAGTGTGGATATCCAATAAAGTCTAGGTCAGATAACCAATACAGTTTAGGGGAGATAACCAATACAGTCTAGAGCAGATAACCACTACAGTCTAGGGCAGATAATCAATACAGTCTAGGGCAGATAAGCATTACAGTCTAGGGCAGATAACCAATACAGTTTAGGGCAGATAACCAATACAGTCTAGAGCAGATAACCACTACAGTCTAGGGCAGATAATCAATACAGTCTAGGGCAGATAAGTATTACAGTCTAGGGCAGATAAAAAATACAGTCTTGGGCAGATAACCAATACAGTCTAGAGCAGATAACCAATACAGTCTAGGGCAGATAATCAATACAGTCTAGGGCAGATAAGCATTACAGTCTAGGGCAGATAACAAATACAGTCTTGGGCAAATAACCAATACAGTCTAGAGCAGATAACCAATACAGTCTAGAGCAGATAACCAATACAGTCTAGAGCAGATAACCAATACAGTCTAGGGCAGATAAGTATTACAGTCTAGGGCAGATAACCAATACAGTTTAGGGCAGATAACCAATACAGTCTAGAGCAGATAACCACTACAGTCTAGGGCAGATAATCAATACAGTCTAGGGCAGATAACCAATACAGTCTAGGGCAAATAACCAATACAGTCTAGAGCAGATAACCAATACAGTCTAGAGCAGATAACCAATACAGTCTAGAGCAGATAACCAATACAGTCTAGGGGAGATAACCAATATAGTCCAGAGCTCACTTCAAATTGTGATAAAGAGAATGCATTTGTTTTGTCATTTCACAGACCATTTCCATTCCTAAAGACCATTTCCATTCCTACAGACCATTTCCATTCCTACAGACCATTAATATTCCAATTCAAGCTGTAAAATTGAACATAATACATGACCAAGTAGGTTAGAAAACACAGTATTCACTAAGTCAATTTTGTCTCTTTAAATGTCTAACACACCACCCAACCCCCGATGTGACTGCAGATATAGACCAGCCTGATAAGAAATTATACAAAGACAAAGGAAAAGATTCTCATTGAGATATAAACATGTCAGCTTTCATCTAATCTGTTCTCAACTCATGCAACCAGCATACACCGACAATGAAGTTCAAATTATTGTTCATAATTAAATTTTCTAACGGTAAATATAATTATTCACTTCACTTGAATGAACCATTGGGAATCATATTCAGATTCTGTTATACACCATAGTGTCAGATAAATATTTACGTTATCACAGTGTAATAATTGTAATAACAAGAAGGCAGAACATTTTTCTAGGCAGTTCTTAAATCTATTTCTTTCTGATCCCAGGACTTCTTGATCTGATCCTACTCTCCAAGTTGGCATACAGCTGAGCTTCCAAGACCTTCTTGTCAAAAGTGTCTGACTGATATTTCTCTTTGATGTCATCTCGCAAAGTTTGGCTCAACTGAGCTAATGCCCGAGTCTGAAAATACATAAATAGGCCACACATTAAAAATTGTAACTCTATCGCTGCGGAATTTTTTTATCGAAAAAATTTACATTTTTTTCAGAGTGAAAAAGAGTGAGAGGTTGGTTTATTAAAAAAATATTTAAAATATTATTCTTTGGTTTATAAGACTAAACTTGGTATCAAATGAAAGATAATTGAAAGGACTATATGTTTGTAAACTTATTTCTTCACTTTATAAATAAAATAAGTTACAGAAAAGAACCATAAAATGTGAAAACATTTTATGCTAAACCATTTTTCCCCCAAACCCTATGATGTATGCATACCTCACCTTCACATCTATAACTCAAATCTCTAAAACTACTATTATCAGAATCATGCCATGGATCTAAATATTATTTATATTCACTATCAAAAGAAATAGTATTTAACAATTCCAAAACTTTTTGAGCTGTTAATCATCTAGGAAACTTACTCCCCTACCCGGGCCTAGAGTAGCCATAGCAACAGTAGAAAAACAAGCGAAGAAATAATGCTTCAAATGACAACAAATAAACCTTGGTTTCGCGTACAAACAATGAAGTACCACTCTTCTATGTAAAAGTTTTATTTAAAAATAGCTCTTAAAAAGTTTAACCAAGAAATAGCAAAGAAAAAAACATGATATTAAAACAACGCTCAGTGCGTTGATCCGTGCTTTTGAGAACAGCGGATGAACGCAGTGTGCGTTGTTCCGCATCAAAAGAGTTAAGTCACGTGTTACTCCTTTTCTTTTAGAACTTTGTGCATTAGCCTTGTGTTACGCACTGACTTGTATTGGGAGAAATTAATCTCCTATTTTAATTTTAATTGGCTCGTTGTAAACAGTGCCTAACAAAAGACGATACCATATAATCAACAATATTAAAGATACGACCCAAAACAGTTTCTAGTTACAATTAATTAAGATTTATTATGTCTTAAGATAATTACAAAATAAAATAAAATAAAATTACAATCTTCAACTTACAGTATGGCAGATGTCGTACCGGTACACAGTTAATACAATTAGAAATAATGATGCCAATAAATAATGCGAAATAAACACATATAAGTAGGAGCACACAAATACACAAAGAATAAAACACGCCTCGTAATTCCGGTACACAGTTAATACAATTAGAAATAATGATGCCAATAAATAATGCGAAATAAACACATATAAGTAGGAGCACACAAATACACAAAGAATAAAACACGCCTCGTAATTGTTAAGAGAATCTATCTCAAAAATCCCCGTCGTCGTGCCTGTCAATCCCTTATATATATGTAGAGTAAGATGCTTCGAGAAGGGCTTATGACGTGTTGTTTACATATCTCGGGTTAAGGAGTATATTCCAGAAATTACCCGAAAACAATCTACCCAATGCGTAATTGGAAGCCGATTGTAAACAAGCCACTTCAAAGACCTAAGCCACACCCCTTTGTGAACACAGCGTCTCATGCGGGGTCAATCAGAGGGCACACACGAGAAATATTATGTAAACAAGCTCTCTATAACACTAGTGACACAGGGCTTAAAAACTTAAGATGTATCTCAATGACCATTATAGAATGTTGCATATAACATGATTAATATAATTTTATTAAAAAGGTTTTTCAAAAACATTCTAAATAAAAACATTTTTATAAATTTGGAAAAAATAAAAAATAATTTTATTAATCAAGTATTCCACTTTAAATTATAACTTAATTTAAAAATATCAATAAGCAAATGTAAGGTTAATATCTGCCTGAGAATTAACTTTTCAAGACTGACCTCTGACACTGTTCTTTCTTTCTCCTCAAGAAGGTCATCAACTTTTCTCTCCTTCTCTAGTAGAGATCTTTCTAAATCCCTTAGCCTCCTTTTCTCTTCTTTTTGTATTCTAAGAACATTGTAATAATAGGTGATAAAATCATAAAATGTAAAAACCTAGTGATGCTTTAACTGCGGAGCACTTATGATTATGGTTTGCTTATAATTAAAATAGAATTCTGTCAATTTTTAAGCAGGAAAATATACTGACTTGGTTAAATTTTTGTGATGCTCCAACTCTTTCTCAATCCTCTGTTTTCTGGCCAGCAGTGACTTGAGCTCGATGCTACGAGTGACAGCTTTCTGTGCACGAGTTTCCATCTACATTCATTTGGAACAAGAGTAAAGATAAAATAAAACGTCAGAGCTGTACAAAAGAAACATAATCTCACATTAAATAGATTTTTTAACTTCACAAACAGCTATTATGGATATTTTTTTCATGGCAATAAATTTGAGTTCTTATAACAACAGTGTGTAGAAAAAACTTAGTTTTGAGTTTACCAGTTTTTTCTGATCCAGTAAGCTTAAACCCCATGCTTTTGTTTCAGCTTCCAATTTTTTATGAGAGCTTCTTGCTCTTTGCAGCTTCGCCTGCTCTTGACGGCTGTCAAAAATATTAAAAATAACAAACTAATGTTTACATGGATAAACTAGTGTTTATTTAATTGTAATGTTAATTTGAAAAATGCAATTTCTGTTTTTAACATCAGCGTAGCTACAATATAAAAATTAAATATTAAAATAGAGACAGTTGGCTCGGAGCATGGATGTTTATCACACCATATACTGGCCTGCTTACTTTTAAATTAATGCTAATCAAAACAGACATTTGAAATAGTATTTTATTTAATGGCAATTTAATTTAATAATGTTTAAAAACTCAAAAATTAATAAATTATAAATAAGTGTCCAAATATTTTTTTTTAAATTAATAGTACGTATGATGTGTATCCCTAACTTTCTGTTTAAATCCTAAAATGACATGTCCATGTATAATGCAATCGGTTAATCTTGTTCTATAACATTAATAATAAACTAAGAATAAAATAAATAAATATTTATTTTAAATAAAAACGTCAAAATCCTTTAAATAATTAAAATATTTAAAATGATCTGTCTTCATACCATATCCAACTAAGCTAAGTAACATCCCTTCAAAGGGGCGCTACTTACATCACTGTTATGCGCAGATAGGAAGCGCACCCTTTTGCTGAATGCAAGTAGGTCTATTTGGTTGCATAAACATTGGTATAATAAAATTTTGTACGTTTAAATAAAAATTTCTTATACACACGTAGAATGCGATACCCTATTTAAATACAAGTCTTTACCCTATATTTCTCACATTATGCTGTAACCTATGGCAAGTCAGCATTCAATTTATTAATGGTATGAAACCTACTGATGTTCCTCTAACTGTCTATTTCTCTGTTCCAGAACTTGACTCAGATTAGCCTCTGCCTGGCTCAGCCTCACTTCCATGGATGATTTCACCAGTTCTTCATTTTGTCTAACAAAATCAGACATTTACTTTTTAAGTTCACTGAGCATTAAAGAGGATTTTTATGGCTTGTTCATGTGCATCAAGGACATGTCAACAATTGTTACCTTTGAACTCTGCGACATAATGTGCTTCTAGATGCAAAAACAGTTTCAATTAATATGGTAAATCAAATAAATTATATGTTACAATTACCTTTTTTTTTAGTAGCCTAATAAACTCATTGATATAAAACAGGCAATTGAAAGCTGACTTTCAGAACTGACATAATAACAGAAGACCTAAGAATTATAAGCAAGGGACAAGTATATGTTAGAAATAGTACAAAACCAACAGTGTAGCACAAACTTTCAATAAAACTCATTCATAAGCCAAAATGCCAAACTTACTTTTCTTGATTTTTGAGTTGCCTCTTTCTTTGTTCAAACTGTTCCCTTTCTTTCCTATTATCTAAAAACTTTTTCTAGTTAAATAGTAATGAAAATAATCAATCGTTTAACAAAAAATGTTTTTTGAATGAATAAGAAATATATTTATAAAGTATTTCTATTTAATTTATTTCAGAAGAACTGTAGATGTTTAATATATATATATATAACAGTGTAATTGAAGATTATATTTTTTAAGGTGATCTTTTAAAGTTATTTAATCAACTCCTCTCCCCCCCCCCCCCCCCCCCCCCCACATCCTATAAAAAAACACATTTTAAAAGTTAATTTTAAACAGTCCCATTTTTAAAAAAGTTACCTTCTGTTTATTCAGAATACACAACGTTACTCAACTCACCAAACTTTCCTGGTGTATTCTAACATCTTTTTTTTCCGAAGCTGATCCAATGTCAGATAACTGTTTTGCTAACAACAACTCAGCCATTTCTTCATCATCACCCTCTTCAGCTTTGCGATTTTGGGCCTTAAATTTAAAACTGTCATGTCAACATCTTTTTTCCTTTAAATTATTTTGCTAATAGAAATTGTAAAATTTTAGTTTTTAAATTAAAGTTAAATACAGTGGATTATGTTTAAATGAGCTAAGAATCAAATCACTTCAGCCCCATTAAAAGCACCAGCCTACAATAATTTTGAAAAATAAGTAAACATAAAACTTTACAAATAAACACAATTTTAAAAAGCATAAGCAATCTGCAAAAATAACATTCTCTCCTTCAAATTATAATACAATGGTTTTTTTTTTTAAAATAGCCCTAAGTAATAAATCAAACAAAATGATTATCAACTTTCGCAACTGGTATTGTAAGATAAATTGAATGCATAAAAAATGTGAATTTAAAAGATCAAAAAGGATGACTTAGAAATATAGTCATTGTAAGTGTGGAATGTTACCTTAACTTCTTTAAGTAAATTCTGCTTTCTGATTTTATCTGCTAATTCCATCTCCTGAAATTTGTTAGAATTTCTGTTAAGGCAACAATCAAGATCTGATAATTATGTAATGCAAATACTTTTTACTAGCAATTAGTTATTTTATACTTGTTATAGATCATAAATTTGTTATAAACTAGTTCTGCCTCCAATTGTTGATCTCTTCTGCAGGATGAAATAAGAAAGTGTCGCAAAACTCATGGAATGATACTTGAAATCAGCAACGGTTAAAGGCTAAAAAATTTATTCTAATCAATAGTAAAATATTACTGATATTAAATTGAATATTATATTGCCCAATAACTCAACTATAGAAACTTATTGTTGTACATTTTAATTTTACATTATTGAGAAGAAGAAAAACAAGATTTTAAAAAAATATTTGAATAATGTTCTAAAATTTTACTAAACTAGGTTATATTAGGTAACTCTGTGTGATTCGGGCTCTCTTCATTACCAAACTATCACCAACACCATATGGACAATCACTATACCAGGACTAATTTACCATAAACTAAGCCAATGTAAACTTATCCAATGCTCAACCTTCTAAATTACACTAAGAGAAAAAAGGTCATCCTGACCTTCAACCTCAGCTGATTCATTAAAACCAGTTCTCTGTATGACTGTGTCTCATGTGATAACAGTGCCCTCATTTGTCTCTCCTCTTCCTCCTCTTTCTCTCTCCTTTCGTCATCTCTTGTCTGAAACAACAAATTGATTCTCATTTAATAAATGACACTGCACTTGGTTGTGTACAAGCAACCTTAGTTAAAGAACGATGATTAGAAATTATTTAATTAAACATTTCAAGCTGCATGGAATATTCCTTTATTATATTTATTAATTTAAGAAGTTATAAAAAAATTATTATTATGAAGCAAAAGAAAGCTAAAATATGGATTAAAAATATTTTTAACATTTTTTTAAAGCTTTCACCATACTTTGCGGGTTTCCTTAATTCTTGTTTCCTCTGCCAAAAGTTGGCGTCTCTTGTTTTCAGCCATTATCCTCAAGATATCTTCCCTTTTTTTCTGGTCCTCCCATAAGCGATGAGCATCATTTATAACTGACAAACTTTTCTGTTCACTTTCTCTGCGATCTTTCATAAGTTTCAAAATTTTCTCGTCCTGTGCAATCAAATATTAAGATATTGCTTTCCTTGGTGTGTAGTTTTATATTAACTTATGGTACCTTTTGTCAGTTTTTTTTTTACAGTAGCAAAAATTTCCACTAAAAATATTCAAATGCTATATATGAATCTACAACAGTAATCTTTTACAATTACTTAGAATAGAAGAAAACATAAATAATGACCCTTGCAGGAAGGTGAACCCCACTGGGTGCAGACCCACTCCTGTATCTAACTTTAACACCTAGAGTTACAGATGGGCTACAGCGTTGGCTTTTCCTTTTATCAGATGAGTGGGGACGTGCTCTAAAAATAAAAATTATTTGAGCTAGTTAAAAAAAAAGAAGACTGTGAGAGAGGCAGTAAAATCCCACATCAAATTTAATGTTACAGGCTAAACAGGTCAAAGCCTTAAAAATACTTTTCCATTAAATGTATGTCCATTTAAATTAATATTGAATTAAACGACCCTTTGTAATTTACAAAAAGATATAACCAAATTGTTACTTTTTAGATAACTTAAAATATGATTAGATATTGTATCACCTAATAGATACATGAGATGTCTGTGGACTCTTGTCTTTCTTGGATACAAGCTCCCTGTGCAACTTGGTACTCTCTTTATCAAAAGAACTAGATTTTAAAAATGAAATTGCTCTTAACAAAGAGAAGAAATTTTATTTTATGAAAAATAATGTTGCTGTTTGACATATAAGAAGAAGCGGAAAATTTTTTTTTTTAAATTTCTGGTTCAGAAATAAATTTCTACCAATAAATTTTAGTTAATTTATCAGTTAATTAGTTTTTTAAGCAACCTTTTTTTTTCCTTTCTTGCATAAGTTGAAGTACTTTTCCTATCTGGCGTGCTAGCAGCATACCTTGATAAGAAATCTGTTGTAAATGGTAAAAAAAAAATGGATTTTCTTTTATATTATTTACCATTAAGGCACAAATAGTTTACTTAAGAATTGTTTACAGCGACATGATGCACAACAGTAATAACAAAAGTAGGTTATAAACCCGCTCCCCCAACCGCCTTTGAGCATAATGGGTCCAACAAACAAGGATAAAGAGATGATTTGAAGAGGGGTGTTGGGATTATATGCATGTGATTTTCCAAAACAAGGTTTTCACTCAATTTCATATCATTTGAGATTTTTTTGAAAAGAATATTATAGGTGAATTTTCATCTTTCATCTCTAAGTTATGATCATATTTAAGTATCTCACCATCCAAGGGATGAGTCGACTTCAAAGCTTTGGAAAAGTACTTGGATTTTTTCTGGTTTTCCTCTTTTATTATTCGACCTCTTTCTTCTCTGCATAGTTGTAATTTTTCTTGAGCAAGAAAAATATTAATTAATGAAATATCAGTTTTATTCTTCCAGGTGAACAGAATATCTCTCTAAATCATCCTAAAGTAAAATAAATAATATTTTTACATTTACGTGATAAATTGTGTTATAGGATCTGAAAATATAATAATTCTGTTAGAGAAAATGCAAACAAAATTAAACAATATTTTAAAAAGAGATCTTAAAAACCACATATTAAAGCATAAAAAATTATAACAATTTTTAATTTTGTTGGCATTATAAATTACTTATAACTTTTTATAATTAGAAAAAAATATGCTTAAATGTTACATTCTAATTTACCCACTTAGTCTAATGTGCTCTCTCTCATCATACAAATTATAGATTGTCTGTAGGGGTATGTCCTGTGGTAAAAGTTCTTCTTGAAACTCTGCAAGAGGCTTGTAAAGTAGCTCAATAGGCTAGATGGTAAATAAAAGTATATGGTTTACATAAATATATATAAGTATTATAAATAACCAAATTTGTCTCTATGTAACAATTATTAATTTAAAATATTTAACTATCAAGCATTTCTTAAATTCATCTCCATTCAGACAAATCTGAAACTAAGGATCAGAGGATCATTACTTTTTATTTGATTAGGACAATAGAGTCATTGACAAATAATATTTCATTTTAAAGATTTTATTGTTGATAAAGATTACATTAAATTACTGTGAGAAATTTTTTAGTCATAGTCTAAACGTTTGGAACCTATAATAGAAATTGTAACTAATAACAGGCATTAATGATGGCAGGGCAAACATGGATATTTGCTGGAATTCTGCCACATTGATGCAAACTGCAAAGAACCTGGATATGCTTAAGAAAATTCAAAGATCAAATATTTTTTATTCTTACTTTGACATTCAATTTTGAACATGCTTCCAAAGATCTTGGACTTGTGAGCACATACTTGCTATTTTCAAATTTACCATCCTCCAAATTGTTTAAGTCAATATGTATATTTAAATCTGCAGCAAGTAAAAGAAAATAAATTAATGAAAAAAATGTAGTCAAGCTAAATTTTAAGTTTAGAAGTAATGTATTTATACATTTTTCAATAACTGCTTTATTATCTGAAAAGGGTACTCATTAAAAAATTAATTTAATTATCTTTTAAAAAACCTAGTACTAGTAACTTAGTAAACTAATTCAATAAATCATAATTTGTGCACATTTGTAAATGTTCATATATCATATGCAGAAAATTAACTATGTTCCTTGTTTAATATAATGTTATATACCAAGGCTACAATAATTAATCTATATATAAACTAGTGAATGCAATAATTAATCTATATATAAACTAGTGAATGCTAAACTAATGAAATTATTCTTAGTTCTTTTTATATTAGGCCTATAACTCCATAATTTAAATTGTATTTAAAAGTAAAAAGGCACACAGATCATATGATTTTATTCTATTTTAAAATTAGAATATAGAAAAAACAAAATTAGAATATAGAATTTCTTCTTAAAGAAAACTAGTAACTTTAATTTACCTTGGCAGAACATTGTTGGCAGACATATTTGTGAAATTTTCCAAATTTTTATGGACAAATATAATTTAAATTTTAAATATTCATTTGTTACAACCAAGTCCAAGTCTCTCTATTTAAATATATTTAAAGTAAAACTAATTCCTACATGTAGAACCTGTTAATTGTATGGCACTCTAACCAGTGTTTAATATATATTCCTGTTTTTCATCATACACCCATCAGCCCATCAAGCTATGCTAGACCTGTTATATAATATATTTATAGAAAATGCTGAAAAATCTAGTTTTATTCCGCTTAAAAATATTATTTAATGCAATTTTTAGCCGCTATTCGGACCCAGGTCCCTTTAGACTCAATGCCATTTGTATGTCATTTGAGTAGTTTATTTAAACTGATGAAGTAAGTTTACAAACTGGAAAAAACATATTATAGTATCATATAGTATTATCATATTCATATAGACTATATTATAGTCCATTCAATTATCTTACATATTCATTTGATACCAAATTTTATCTTACAACCCAACAATAATATTTGTAATATTTTTTTTAAATCCCAACCTCTCACTTATGGACTTGATCACTTTCAAACTTGATTTTTAAATTTTAATCAGCCAGGCCCGGCCCAGGCAATAAATTATAAATACTCAATTTCAGTATGTTGCCTTTTCTTTTAATTATTTCTTTATTTCAAAATTGTTATCATCAATATTTAAATGCTAATTTTCAGTTTTATAATTAATCAGATCTCAATTATAACATTAATAAATATTAATACTTATGTCTGTATCATGTAATTAAAACAAAAAATCAAAACGCAAGATTGGACTTGCTCAAACTCAAAATCACCTTTTCTGCAGTTGCCAAACACTATAACTCATATTAAATAACATTTTAATATCAACTTACCAGTGTCCATGATTCAAAAATCGATACAGTTTTAAATATTTAGATCATAACAGGCAAAGTTGATTGTACATAAATTCTTAAATTTAAATGCACTGAGTGAGAAACTATACGTCTAACCAGTTATGACGCCATTTTACAACAATAACCCTTTAAAAATATTAAACTAGTTACAAGAAATCAGAACAAATATTAATTAATTAATATAGAGTTAAAACCATTGATTTTAATTCGTTTATTACAAATTAATGGCAGATAAAAAATAACATTTTATTTTAAATAATTTTCTAAGTTGTAATTTTCTAATTATTAGCCTATATTTCAACAATTACTTTATGAAAATGTATTGTATTTGTTTGTTGGGTTTTATTTTTAAATTTTACTTTATCAAAAGGGCCAAGAGCTTTTTCCGTTTTCGATTTTAGAAGGTCACGGTTCGTATTCTATTGACACTATCAATCATTGTCATTCACATTCACATTGATACTAAATTTAGTTTAAGGGAGTAATGATACAATATGTTCTGTGAAGTAAAATTTGCTCCCTAATAGCGTCATGCGAATTAGAATCAAACGTCGAATGCCGTTATCTGTATATCTGCTAACAACTGTCTTAGGTGTTGCCAGTGGAATCTATATCTTCGATCCTTTATTACGCGCTCAACATCAACAGAGGTTGCTGCAGCAGTCCGAGCTGGACAACTCTAACAATAAAAACAGCACTATACAGACTTCGCAAGACTTGATTACCGAATCTGATAAAAGATCTTAGACAGTTTATTAGAATAGATTCTCTGCTTCAGATGTAAGTTCGCCAGTTCTTAAGACTTAACTGTAACTTCTTTTATATTTATTATTTTAAATTTAAAGCTGGTACCTGTACTCATATGTACAGGTATAACTGAACTGAACAGATTCTCAATGACCTCAACTTGCCAAGGCAGCAGAGGCGTAGCGTGGTGGGGGCAGGGGGGGGGGACAGATGTCCCCGGGCGCCAGCTAGTTAGGGCTAGGGGCCCCAAAATGTGCTTTGATATTATTTTATTGATGAAAATAATGGATTTTAGAGTTGAAAAAAAGAAAAAGGGGCGCTAAAAATGGATCTTGTCCCCGGGCGCGAATCTTGTCCCCGGGCGCCAAACACCCTCGCTTCGCCACTGCAAGGCAGTTAAGGCCTTAACTTGCATTCAAACTTTGATAATAATGTCGTTAGATCCTATTTACTAAGTCTTAAGTTATCTTATTATCTACCTTCTACTTCTAACCTTACTAAGATGTGACATTAGACATAACTAACTGCTAAATGAAAATGTGCTTACTCCACAATGATGCTGAAATCAAATGTATCATAATGATCAGGTCATAATCATATAATATAGTATAGCCTTATTTATAATTATAATCAAATTATAATGATAATAGCTAGGTCTATATAATATATAGTCTATAGAGTATAGTCATGCGGGATAGGCTAATTTTTTTTTATAAGCTAGTATATTGGTATATGCCTATAATCTCTATACTTATATTTTTATTATATCCATACTGACATTTAATGTAAAATATAGTAGTATATATAATATATATATATATAAAATACAAGACATTAATATTACCAGTATTTATAATACTGAGATACTGGTTACAGTAGAGGATTAGTATTCTATTTTAACTCTTTTCCCCTTGTCTTAAGTCAGGTCTTTCAGAGTATTTCCTTTTTAGTCTGTGAAAATCACATTTAAAATACATTTACACCTTTAGTAAAATTATAAAGTCATATATCTGCAATATGACTCACTGTGGTACGGTACTTTGGATTGTTTAAATAATATGAAAATAATCCTATGCTATGCATACTTATGCACATCCCCATATATTTGTAAATTGTAGTTTTTTTGTTTTTACAAGTACAAGTCAATTAGGAGTCGTTTGCAAATTACGTCACCAAAGAATGACCCAGAGGCGTAGCGTGGTGGGGGCAGGGGGGGGGGACAGATGTCCCCGGGCGCCAGCTAGTTAGGGGCGCCAAAATGTGCTTTGATATTATTTTATTGATGAAAATAATGGGTTTTAGAGTTGAAAAAAAGAAAAAGGGGCGCTAAAAATGGATCTTGTCCCCGGGCGCCAAACACCCTCGCTACGCCACTGGAATGACCTTTTCTGACCCCTCCCCCCTGTCAAAAATTCATTACCCACCCCACCCCCCCATTTAATGTCACGTCACACCTAAAAAAAAATTAAACATACATAAAATTTTCATGACTAAACTAATATTATATTTTAGTTTTTAACATTTTCCTAAAATTGATTAAGATGTAGTATTATAGAAAACTGTGATGTAAAGCAACAAAGTCCTCCCCAAGCCGAATGTAAAATGGCCACATCAGTTTTAGCATCATTTTTCGATATGGGCATAAGGTGTGGGCAACTGAGTTCGTGGTACTTATAATATCTGAGGCGATTTCGATCTCAAATTAATATTTTTTAAATTCATTTAATTAAGATTTTTCATAATTTTTTTTGGTTTTAATTAGTCGTCACAAATTTTTGACCTACCCTCCCCCGTCACATATTTTTTACCACACCTCCCCACCCCCCCCCCCCCCCCCCCCCCCCCCCCACCCCCCGAATGTGACATAATTTGCAAATAACCCCCTAAAAGTTAAGTGACTTTTTGAAAATATCATTTTGTGAAAATACATTTCTATTCTACTAATTAGTACTATATTATTTAATGACAATACTAGAAATCAACCCTTTCATTACCACTGATTTTGGGCATCGATTTTTGCTGACTCCGCATTGAAAAAACTTAAAGATGAAACTTCCGATATTATTTTATTGTTTATCCGATTCGCTTATTAACTTCTCTATAGATTAAAGAATTAAGAAATATATTGTATATAGCATTGAAATGTGATGTCCTTGGTATTTTAGAAAAGTTCTTTGTGTCTTTGTTATGACAGTATGACATCCTTGGTAATTGAAAGTGGGTGATTGTGACGTCGCGTCGACGTCATGGGTTACAAAAAGGTTAAGATTAAGAGCCAAAAAGTGGCGCTGGCAACTTCCCATCTACATTACTTGACAAAACATGCATTCAAAAAACACATTTATAAGAATTCCAATTAGTGCTTTTTTCTGGGAATTTTATTTAGCATGCCTGATGAACACAGCTATACATCATATATCTAAATAATTTTATTTGCAATACAATTTGGAATTATTTAGATTTAGATGTAAATAAAAATTACTTCAATTCCTCAATCCTATGTAATTTAATTTATTTCAGCCAAGGGACAATACAGTGATCAAAATGGCACCCAAGATACCATTATCTTGGGTACTTACGTTTGGTGGTATCACTGGGGGTTCTGTTGTCTACTTGTTTGCTGTTAATCCTTACTTAGAGCAAAGAAAGTTGAGACAGTTGGAAACAGAAGCAAGGACCATTTTTGAAAGAAGGCTTCAACAATCTTCCCTTAAAACAGATATGAAAAGTGATGTCACTTACAAATAATTAATGGTATATCCCACTTTTAGTATTTTAGTTTTTTGTAAAATAAATGAATTACTACTTTATCAGCACATATTTGAGTTATTTTTCTCACAACTTTGTTTCACAATGTGAATCACATACGTCATACAGATTCACAGTCATGTATAACGTAGTATAAGTTTACCTATTCTGTATATGGTACGGTATAGAAAGCTGACTAAATTTGGCAGTGTGCCACTGCAACAGCAAGGTTATGGAAAAAGAAGCTTGAAGTTTTGGTCTTTTCTATGGCTCAACAGTAAGATGTGTGTTACATTCTTGCACCCCAAAGATCCTTAACCAGATAAAACCATAATGTGCTTGCTTACTGTGCAGACATTCAAATGAGCTAGTAAAACATAACTTTTCTACTGCCATGCACTTCAGGACTTCTTAAACCTTAACTATCTACCAAAAATGCCAGACTACAAAATGCTACAATGCACAGACACCCTATATTATTCTATATACAAACAATAACAGTTTGGAGAGTGTGTTATTTCTCTATCAAGGCGTCAGGCCACATGGCACATGGCCAAATGACTAATGGATCTGAATGATGATCATGAATTGTATTTATATACAGTATGGTATATGTAAGGTTATATTACTTATATGATCTTTCTGAAATTTTTACTTTTTTTAAATTTTAACAATTTCCAATAAAACCCCATAGCTGATTTTGTACATACCTTTCCCCTGGTAATAAGTAATTTCAAGTATAAAAGATATCGAATTTGCACACAATTTAAATGGCAGCTTTTATCAGAATCTTTGTATACCTGTTGCCTTGATATCAAAATTAGTCAGAAGGAAGCTTCAACCCAATTGTTCAATTAGAAGTTACCTTTGGTCAACATAGAACACGGGCACTCAAAGTCTAACCTGAGGGCCAAAGCCATTTCAGCTGGCCCACAGAAGATACTGTACCGGGTATTAGAAGTTGTATGAAAAAAATTATATTTTAAAGCAGGTGTGTCTCGTGGAGCATTACATAAAATTCAAAAATAGATTCTTTGATGAACAAGGTAACCCTATTATTATATCACAGTAAGTTGTAGAATTAGAATGGATGAACTTGCTGAAAATGTGTGTGATCAATTGATTGCAAATATAACAAAAATCTGATTCAATTGCTGTGGCAGTTGATGGATACACTAAATTTAAGCAGATATTTCTAAGCCTTGCAGTTGCATGTGTATCCTCATTTTTTCAATGAGAAGTCATTTACTCAAGATTTGCTGACATTAATTCCACTGCTTGTTAGTAACTAGATTCTAGGTGAGAAAACTTTTGCTGTATCATACAGTGTATGTCTGAAATTTATTACAAAAAATCATTTTGATGTCATAAACATAATCTCTATGACAATTCATGGTGCTCTTTCTTGATGGTAAGAACAAGTCTTGCCTTCATCTCATTATTACAGCATAAAAGTAAATGTTTCTTAGATGGCAATTATAGAACATGGTGTTTTGCTTAATGATTTAATTTTAAGATTGCTCAGCAAAGGAAGAGTTTTGTAGCCATTTTGACTTCGTCATAAGACTGGCAGAGATTCTCAAACTTATATACTATTACTTTGTGGAATTTTAGACAGATATTGACAGGATGGTGATTTTAACTTTTTTGGTGGACGTTAAATTACTGGCTATTATTTCACGTAATATTTAATTAGAGTTAAGAACAAGACTGTCGTCATGGAACAGAAATACCATTCATTTCTTTCAGAAGAAACAAGCATTATTTTCCAGTGATTTGGAATCAATGTAGCGTTTGCATTTTCTTAAAGAGTCCATAATAATGTGACAAAAGAACAGCTGGATCAAGATAGACATATTTTAATTTCCAGCACAGAAAAATTACAATTTGAATTTTCCAGTCAATAAAAAGATTTTGTGGAACTGTGTGTTTATTTTGATTACATTATCCGTCCTAACCGTGATTGGACGGCTGCTTGCCACAAGTAGTCGAGCTGCTCTTCAGCTTGAAACAGATGATATCCAGGGAATGGAGCCTCTTACTCCTGGACGTGGTGGTTTTCTGGAAACACCAATGTGTTCCTTTCAATTCATACTTATCAGTATCAGAGTTCATGGCAATTTGGACTAATTTTAATACAGGTATAAAATACTCTATTAATAAAATTTATGATAAAATGACCTAAGGTCACGTTGGCTGTTGTGGCCACTGCATAAATTATAAATTGAACATGGAATTTCCTAGAACAGTGGCTGATGTCCAAAACCAAAGTCTGGCCCTCTGCCAGAAAAAATTTGAGTACCCCAAGTGTAAGATCTAGAATTTCAAGGGTTGGGTGTTTCATTGACTCCTGCTATCAGGCAGTATTTACAACAGTACCGGTAATTCATTTTTAATTTTAAGATAGGTTAATTTAATATAACTACCAAAACTAGGTGATCTTTTCCTGGAATTTTCAAGGGAAACATCAGAAGCCAAGATTAGTTAAAATTTATAATAAAATATAACGAATATGTACCACATTCATTAAGTATTAATTTTACAGTAGCAGTAAAAGAGTTGAACATTTCCTGAAATGCATCCATTGTTTATTACAATATTCTTACTGGTTTCAGAACAATCACTTATTTTTTTTATGTACCGGTAGGTAAAGTATAGTAAATATTAGTACCGGTTTTAACAAATATTATTTGCCATACATTATCATTCATTATGTAACCATTAGGGTTTGCCTATGGATACGTGTAAAATTTTTGTTAATTTATATTTAGTAACTCGTGGGGGAGCACAGACTGGGGAACAAAAGAATTGTATTCTTTAGGTCCCAACTTTAAGGGAAAGAATTTGTTTTGATCTTAGGTGCTGCGTATCTTTAATGAAAGAGGATGGGATGTATCCTCCAAAGAATTTTTAGTTTTACGAACAGCATTTTTCTTATAAAGTTCTACAATTGAAGGTTGTTTAATTTGTTTTATGTTAGACGAATTTCCACTCTAGCAGAATCTATAATAATAATAATGCCAGAGTGGACTTTGTCAGCCCTGCTCAAGAAAAGTGACACAGTTTAACCCATTTTAAATAGTTTTTTTTTATGGCTTAGCTCCCTCAACTAAAGCTCTTGAAAGTAAAAAAAGACATTTAATTTATTCAATTTTTTAAAACAGTTTATCCTTAAATGTGCAATGTACTATTAGCGACAACGGTACCCTTGTGGGGTTCCAGATTGTACTCCATGTATCAATTCAGCACAGAACATGGTGATTGAGAAATGTGTTCCTTTGGTGCCAATGTGATCAAGCACACAATTTTTTTTATAGATTATGCACACACAACGTGGGTGGTTTGCGTTGCCCCAGCTAGTGAATTAATCATTTTATAGTTAACGTCGACATTGTGTACATTTTAAAGATAGAAAAGTCTTTGGTTGAATTTTTATACAGAATTTGGCTGTGTTCATGCCATATTATTTTATTATTAGCGGTGACACCTAAGTTCTAAAATCTCTACTTCTCTATCCTGTGAATTTTTTTATTGTGAGATATGCTATTGGGTAATTTATCCTCCAGAAATCGGTAACCATTTCTTTCATTTTTTAGACATTCATCTAAAGAAAATGTTCATTGCATCAACTGATAAAGCTTGTCACTAATTTGCTGTATAAACTTTCCCATTCAGATATTAAGTCAAAGGTGGTGGTAACATCATCAAATTTAATTATTTGAACCCCTTGTTAAAAGAAATATAAAATTGGTTGCAAATGTGAACTAAATTTGGGAAATAGGTTTGTGCAATATTAATATTAATTTTATTAATAACTCAGTTTTTTAAGTTGGAACCGGTATCTAAAAGGGGTTAAAAATTCCAATTTTGGGAATTCCTTATAATTTATAGAGAATTTTAAATACCCAGTTCCCCTGTCCGTACATTTTGCAAGTGATTAAATGTTTTCGTTTAAAAAATACATCTAAATTATGGTATCATATATAAAAAAACAGATAATTTGAGAATGAAAATAACTTTAAGAAAACTTGAAATGGATTAATGATGCAACTTTTTATTTGTTACCAGCTGACGAAGTTTCAGTCATAACACTTTTTCTCATCAATCAAATTAAAGCCTTGTACAAAAGTCAACTAAAAAAAATTAAACCCATTCATTCAATTCAAAATGAACCAATTAGTTCATCACTGTTCTTAAATTAATATTAATATCCTAAACATGTTAATCTTGCAAATCTGAAAAAAAAAAATAATAATGATTAAAATGCATTATTTATACCACTTATACATAACGATACCATATGGTAATAATAAATGTTAATCTACACAAATTCAGCTTCCAGCACTAAGCAAGAAAAGATTAGAACTTATTTTACAAGATTGTAGCCCTTAATTGCACTTATGCTAATAATACTAACATGTTGTGAGCCAAACTTATGACTATCACTGATTTAGGCCCTAGAAATAGTAACAAAAATCATCATTCAAATAAAGAACTTGGGAACTTAAATTTACCTAAATGTTGCTTTCTTCTTCAAACTTTTTTCCATAAAATGGTATCTTAGTGGCAACCACTTTCCAATCTGTAATGTAGATGCCTACCACTGTGAGTGTTGCTGCATAAACAGCAACTGAAGGGCCCCTAAAAATTAGTCAGAATAACAACATAAAAGTTTATGTAGGTACAGTATTTGTAATTTTTTGTATGAATTTTGTTTAAGCAGCCTTATTTTATTATTACAGATAATTGAAAGCAGCCTTCCAACTACCTCTGCTTTAGGAGATTTGGTGCTCAGTGGGGATTTTAATTCAATTTTTTTAGCACATGATAAATCGGATTATCATTTTATTTATCTTCATTGGTTTTGATAGTGTTATGGTATTTTGGAAATGAATGAAAACAAAATCACTTAAATACCATTTTAAACACAGTCTTTAGAAAATTTATTTTTAATTAAATCATACACTGTCGCAAAATCAGACAAGCCGGGCTACAGATTTTTCCCCATTCCCAGTGTTTAGCACTACTTTTTTCACTGAGGCACACCAAGTCTTTTCTTTTAAAATTAGTGCTTCACACATGGAAAAGATAGAGTGTTAATACTGCTAAGGGAGAAAGAGATGTTTTTCAACCTACACAGACAGAAAAATAAGGAAAATGATAAGGATGGATTATTTTTCAACAACGAAAAATGTTAAATGACACGATGTGAACCACACAGGACAAAAAATGATAAAATTTAAGTAAAAGTTGTAAAAGAAAGAAAAGAAGTGAAATCACTGAATTTCAAAATTCGGTACAAGTACGGTACCAATAATATGTTTTAAAAAAACAGTGTAAACCTTTCCCAAAATGCTAAAATTTAATCAATGTCAGGGGTATCCCGGTACATTTGGTTTGTGGTGAACATATCAACTTAATTGTATACCTCAGATATGTCACAAGATGTGTCAATGACAAGCAGATACTCCCACCCTAACTTATCAATACATAAACCTAGCCTGAATCCTTAAATCTTTTCGCAACGGTGTGAGGTAACAATCTTTTTTATTTTTATGTGCGTTCCACCACTCATTTTGTAAGTTGGCATAGACAATAAGTATGGTAACTCAATTAATACATTATATGCTAATACTAACATTTAAAAACCTTTCAAAATATGAAATTCCATCTAGCTTTGCATGTTAGATTGAAACAAGGAAAAGCTCACTACAGACCAATGTTCCCTCTAAGGTTTGTTGCTTCGTGTGCAAAATTATACAGTTGTGTGCAAAGTTTTACAGCATCATTTTTTTGTGTGCAAAATTTTACAGCCCACAAACACAAACTTGCATGGAAATTTGCTGCGTGGATACTCAAAACTAATGCGCGGCGTGTGTGATATAGCTGCGCAGCCACGCAGCTAAAGGGAACATTGCTCCAGAACCAAGGTAGAGATAGGGGCAGATCATGCATAAACAGAATATGTCATAGCCAGATTTAATGATTAATCCCAGATGAACACCACCACCAACCCACACACAAAAATGCTTTATTTGTAAACTTTGACTTAGGTGGACACTGGGAGTAGGCACTTCGGTAAGGCAAAGGGTGACTACTTCAAAATTTGTACAGGTAACAGGTATGGAATCGGCGAAGAAACATCGAAGTTTTTACTTTTTTGGACCTTGGTGCTTTTTCATTGATGAAAGGACTATTTTGTTATAAAATTGTGGTATTCATCCACAAATTTACAGTAGTGGACATCTTGACCTACATATCCATCATAATTTTTTTACTTTTCAATCGACCCCAATATTAGAAATTCATAGCTATTTATAAGGCATCTTTCCCTCCAAATTTTTAAACGATTTCAAAATACCGGTATATGATTATGTCTTTCATATTAATTCTTCCTCTGTAATATATTGTAATTGATGTATACGTGAGCCAGGATATGTCAGCCATTAGCCATTAGTTATGCACATCTAAATAACCTGCATTAACATAAGGTCACCTGCCCCATTTTAATAATGCCACCTTTTTCATGGCGGAAGATGCCAATACTTATGAAATATTCAATTATTACCACTATTCACATAAAAAAATTTGATAAATTGTAGAATGAACTTAAAACCCGACCGAGACCCTGTTTCCAAATGGGGGATCCTGATCCCGATTGGGATCCCGTTTTTAAATGTATGCATTCGCAATACATCTCCTGACTGAAGTCTCTGTACCGATACAACATCTGTGTGTATTTTTTGCTTGATATTCATATGTGGTTTAATATAATGCAGCCTCCCACCTTTTCCCTATGGAGAATTCACCACCTTCATTAGCTTTGAAGCCCATTTTACAGACATCATCATCTTCAATTTCACAATAATTTAAAATATCACCCAGCTTGACAGTCAGCTCTAAAGACGAATCTGGTACTAGTAGTGCAGCATGCACAAATTCATTGAGCCATTCCATTTTAAAATTTGGGTAAAAGTGCAGTTTAGGTGCGTAGATAGTATATTATTTCTTAGCGTATTTGGTATTTTCTCATGTTAACTTACATGTATTCTTTATAATTAAATACAGGCAGTAATAGTTAAATAATACCGATTTATAGAGCACTTTTTTTCACTTTTTCTTTTATTTCTAAAGCATCTTTAAACACCCCCCAACCAAAGTGACATAGCCCATTTTTTTTTTCCCCTCTTGTCCAGATTTTTAAATACCTATTAGTATGCTAAATGAAATTTTCCAACTGTAGGCATGTTTACAAAAAAGAATGAAATACTGGAAGAAAAGAAAAAGGAGGGGGTCGGGTGAACTTACTTAGATGCTCCATTTTGGGATAGGGGCCAATAATTATTATTTTTTTTTTATTATATGAGATGTATAATTATAATTCCAAACAAAGGCTCCTGCATGGGTTAATGGATCTAAATTAAACTTAGTTGTTCTTAGTGGCTGGTTTTGAGTTAGCAGTAAGACTGACGATTTGTTTCACGGTATATAGGTCACGGAGGTTCCCCCAGGTCCATTTCCATCTACAGTTACAGCACCATCTACAGTGCCATACTAAAAAGATTTCGATGTTTGTATTTACATAATGCAAGTTATTGTTTTCTTATTTTATATTTTTTGTTAAATTGGGGAGGGGTACTCCCTCCCCAGAGAATTTCAATGTTTCTTATTTTTGTATGTAAAGTGAGGGGAGGGGAGTGAGGGGAGGGGGTCTCCCCTCCCCAGTTCCTAGATGATCATTCCAAATGCAATTTAAGCAGTAGTCTTCCTTTTGTTAACTAAGTTTCAACATATGGGTATTTTGATTTTAAATAATCAAAATACAGCAATTTTGGTGGGCTTCTTTTTTTTCACAGGTGTTGGGTCTTGGGGTATCAGCAAGAATGTGTTTCTTTTTTCCTTTCTTTTGAAAGGTGTAAGTTGAATTTTAATACAAATTAATGGAAAATTTCTACTATACTTCATATTAATATTAACTGTATCATTTATGACGCGAGTAATGCTCAATAAAGACAAAGAACAGGAATGTTATAACACACATCGTTTGGGTCCTTCAAAGAATAGATCTATTCACCTACTCCAGTGTTGGGATTCCCCAATGTGACGTTGCTGCGCTTAGGTGAGAAAACTCTTGGCAAAACCCATACCGTTTAACTCAAAATTTACCAACTTAGTACCGCCATTCAAGTAAATTTCGTGGCGCATAATATTGCGCAGTGAAGTGTATAAATTATAAAGTAAATAAATCGCTAGTTTATTACAAATGTAGTAGCTAATTATTTTTAATAATGAAGATAATGTTTTAACTGTTATGTCTATAACGTCTATTAAGCTAGCTGTCAGCGTCATCACTTGCTAAGAAAGAGTGTAGATCAAATTTTGGCTAATATGAAGAGAAAGCACCCTGATGTCATTTGCGTGTTTTGTCCCTGGTTCCAATAGGGTCAAAACCCTGGTTCCGATAGGGTCAAAACCCAGATTAGGGGGGGGGGGGGATAAGTTAAGGGTTCGGGCTGGGTTGAGTTTAGGGGATAGATTTAGGGTTCAGGTTAGGTTTAAGTTTAGTTTAGGCTTAGGGATAAATTTATGACATAAGTTCGCGGGAGCAAATATAGTTGAATACTAATTTATGTATAATATGATTAATACTAACCAGTTCTTTGTGAGACGTGTGAACAATTTTTTTATTAACGTGATATCTTGTGCACCCGCCATTGTTGTCATTCTAAGCCTAAGAGTAAGAAGTAAGATTCAATGGCTGGAGGTCACAGAAACGAAATATCGGTTGCTCTCTTTACCGAGATCTGAGTAATTTTGATAACTTGTAGAAAATGTAACTCTAATTAACGAATTCCGTGTACTTTGTTGAATGCTTGAAATGTTAATTAAAAATAATTAACGTTTTTAAGAAAACGTACATAGACATGGGCGCCCGCAGAAAACTTTCTAGGGGGGGGGGGAGGAATTAACTTTCCAGGGGGGGGGGGAAAAAATTTTT